AAGAGCTCGTCACAATGCAGAGACTTGAGCTCATCACCTCGTCGAAATCAAGAGCTTGACACACTGCATAGACCTTGAGCTCGTCACCTCGTTGAAATCATGAGCTCGTCACATCGCGGACACCAGGAGCTCGTCACATAGTCGAAATCTTGAGCTCGTCACACTGCAAATACCTTGAGCTCGTCACTCGTCGAAATCATGAGCTCGTCACAATGCCGACGTCACGAGCTCGCCATATCGCAAAAATCGTGAGATCGTCATATCGCCGAAACCATGAGCTAGTCACAATGTAGAGACCTTGAGCTCGTCACCTCGTCAAAATCATGAACTCGTCAAATCAATAACACCATGAGCTCGTCACCTCGTCGAAATAATTAGTCGTCAGATCGCCGACACCACGAGCTCATCACGTCGTCGAAATAATGAGCTCGTCACATCACCGACACCACAAGCTCGTCACCTCGTCAAAATAATGAGCTCGTCACATCCCCGAGAGCTCGTCACATCACCAATACCACGAGCTCGTCACACTGTAGAGACCTTGATCTCGTTACCTCATCGAAATCATGAGCTCGTCACATCGCAATTCTACTTTCCATAAAAATGACGCCCAAGATTAGTTGTCACCTGCCTCACCTTGCTTCGTTCACACGCTTGAGCTCGTCACCTCGTCGATATCATGAGCTCGTCACGTCGACGTAATACTGAGCTAGTCACATCACCGAAACCATGAGCTAGTCACAATGCAGAGACTTTGAGCTCGTCACCTCGTCGAAACCATGAGCTAGTCACAATGCAGACCTTGAGCTCGTCACCTCGTCGAAATCAAGAGCTCGTCACCTCGTCGTAATCATGAGCTCGTCACATTGTCGACACCACGAGCTCGTCACGTTGTCGTAATAATGAGCTCGTCACATCGCCGAAACCATGAGCTAGTCACAATGCAGAGACCTTGAGCTCGTCACCTCATCGAAACCATGAGCTAGTCACAATGCAGAGACCTTGAGCTCGTCACCTCATCGAAATCAGGAGCTCTTCACACAACAGAGACCTTGAGCTCGTCACCTCGTCGAAACCATGAGTTAGTCACAATGCAGAGACCTTGAGCTCGTCACCTCGTCGAAATCAGGAGCTCTTCACACAATAGAGACCTTGAGCTCGTCACCTCGCCGAAATCATGAGCTCGTCACAATGCAGAGACCTTGAACTCGTCACTTCGTCGAAATCATGAGCTCGTCACACTGCAGAGACCTTGATCTCGTTACCTCATCGAAATCATGAGCTCATCACATCGCCGACACCACGATCTCGTCACCTCGTCGAAATAATGAGCTCGTCACATTGCCGACACCACGAGCTCCACACGTCGTCGTAATAATGAGCTCGTCACATCGTCGAAACCATGAGCTAGTCACAATGCAGAGAACTTGAGCTCGTCACCTCGTCGAAACCATGCACTGGTCACAATGCAGAGACCTTGAGCTCGTCACCTCGTCGAAATCATGAGCTCGTCTCATTGCAGAGACCTTGAGCTCGTCACCTCGTCAAGAGCTCGTCACCTCGTCGAAATCATGAGCTCGTCAGATCACCGACACCACGAGCTCATTACGTCGTCGAAATAATGAGCTCATCAAATCGCTGAAACCATGAGCTAGTCACAATGCAGAGAGCTTGAGCTCGTCACCTCGTCGAAATCATAAGCTCGTCACACTGCAGACACGCTTGAGCTCGTCATCTCTTCGTAATCATAAGCTCGTCATATCCTCGACACCACGAGCTCGTTAGGTTGTCGCAATAATGAGCTCGTCACATCGCCAAAACAATGAGCTCGTCACTCTGCAGAGACCTTGAGCTCGTCACCTCGTCGAATCAAGAGCTCGTCACAATTCAGAGACCTTGAACTCGTCACCTCGTCGAAATCATGAGCTCGTCACAATGGAGAGACCTTGAGCTCGTCACCTCGTCAAAATCATGAGCTCGTCACACTGCAGAGACCTTGATCTTGTTACCTCATCGAAATCATGAGCTCATCACATCGCCGACACCAAGAGCTCGTCACTTCGTCGAAATAATAAGCTTGTCACATCGCCGACACCAAGAGCTCGTCACATCGTCGTAATAATGAGCTCGTCACATCGCCGAAATCATTAGCTAGTCACAATGAAGAGACCTTGAGCTCGTCACAATGCAGAGACCTTGAGCTCGTCACCTCTCGAAATCATGAGCTCGTCACACTGCAGAGACCTTAAGCTCGTCTCCTCGTTGAAATCAAGAGCTCGTCACCTCGTCAAAATCATGAGCTCGTCAGATCACCGACACCAAGAGATCGTCACGTCGTTAAAATAATGAGCTCGTCAAATCGCCGAAACCATGAGCTAGTCATAATGCAGAGACCTTGAGCTCGTCACCTCGTCGAAACCATGAGCTCGTCACCTCGTCGAAACCATGAGCTAGTCACAATGCAGAGACCTTGAGCTCGTCACCTCGTCGAAATCATGAGCTCGTCACACTGCAGACACGCATGAGCTCGTCATCTCATCGAAATCAAGAGCTCGTCACCTCATCGTAATCATGAGCTCGTCACATTGTCCACACCATGAGCTCGTCTTGTTTTCGTAATAATGATCTCGTCACATCGTCGAAACCATGAGCTCGTCACAGTGCAGAGACCTTGAGCTCGTCACCTCGTCGAAACAATGAGCTAGTCACAATGCAGAGACCTTGAGCTCGTCACCTCATCGAAATCAAGAGTTCTTCACACTACAAAGACCTTAAGCTCGTCACCTCGTCGAAATCATGAGCTCGTCATAATGCAGAGACCTTGAGCTCGTCACTCGTTGAAATCATGAGCTCGTCACACTGCAGAGAGCTTGATCTCGTTACCTCATCGAAATCATGAGCTCATCCCATCGCCGACACACGAGCTCGTCATCTCGTCGAAATAATGAGCTCGTCACATCGCCGACACCACGAGCTCGTCACGTCGTTGTAATATTGAGCTCGTCACATCGCCGAAATCATGAGCTAGTCACAATGCAGAGACCTTGAGCTCGTCACCTCGTCGAAACCATGAGCTAGTCACAATGCAGAGACCTTGAGCTCGTCACCTCGTCGAAACCATGCGCTAGTCACAATGCAGAGAGCTTGAGCTCGTCACCTCGTCGAAATCATGAGCTCGTCTCACTGCAGAGACCTTGAGCTCCTCACCTCGCCAAGGGCTCGTCACCTCGTCGAAATCATGAGCTCGTCAGATCACCCACACCACGAGCTCGTCACGTCGTCGAAATAATGAGCTCATCAAATCGCCGAAACCATGAGCTAGTCACAATGCAGAGACCTTGATCTCGTCACCTCGTCGAAATCATAAGCTCGTCATACTGCAAACGCGCTTGAGCTCGTCACCTCGTCGTAATCATGAGCTCGTCACATCATTGACACCACGAGCTCGTTAGGTTGTCGCAATAATGAGCTCGTCATATTGCCGAAACCACGAGCTCGTCACACTGCAGAGAACTTGAGCTCGTCACCTCCTCGAATCAAGAGCTCGTCACAATTCAGAGACCTTGAACTCGACACCTCGTCGAAATCATGAGCTCGTCACAATGCAGAGACCTTGAGCTCGTCACCTCGTCGAAATCATGAGCACGTCACAATGCAGATCTTGAGCTCGACACCTCGTCAAAATCATGAGCTCGTCATACTGCAGAGACCTTGATCTTGTTACCTCATCAAAATCATGAGCTCATCACATCACCGACACCAAGAGCTCGTCACCTCGTCGGAATAATAAGCTCGTCACATCGCCGACATCAAGAGCTCGTCACGTCGTCGTAATAATGAGCTCGTCACATCGCCGAAATCATGAGCTCGTCACAATGCAAAGACCTTGAGCTCATCACAATGCAGGGACCTTGAACTCGTCACCTCGTCGAAACCATGAGCTAGTCACAATGCAGAGACCTTGAGCTCGTCACCTCATCGAAATCAAGAGCTCTTCACACTACAAAGACATTGAGCTCGTCACCTCGTCGAAATCATGAACTCGTCACAATGCAGAGACCTTGAACTCGACACTCATCAAAATCATGAGCTCGTCACATCACCGAAACCATGAGCTAGTCACACTGCAGAGAACTTGAGTTCGTCACCTCGTCGAAATCAAGAGCTCGTCAGATCACCGACACCACGAGCTCGTCACATCATCAAAATAATGAACTCGTCAAATTGCAGAACCCATGAGCTAGTCACAATGCAGAGACCTTGAGCTCGTCACCTCGTCGAAACCATGAGCTAGTCACAATGTAGAGACCTCGAGCTTGTCACCTCATCGAAATCAAGAGCTCTTCACACTACAGAGACCTTGAGCTCGTCACCTCGTCGAAATCATGAGCTCGTCACAATGTAGAGACCTTGAGCTCATCACCTCGTCGAAACCATGAGCTAGTCACAACGCAGACCTTGATCTTGTCACCTCATCGAAATCAAGAGCTCTTCACACTACAGAGACCTTGAGCTCGTCACCTCGTCGAAATCATGAGCTCGTCACAATGCAGATACCTTGAGCTCGTCACTCGTCGAAATCATGAGCTCGTCACACTGCAGAGACCTTGATCTCGTTACCTCATCGAAATCATGAGCTCATCACATCGCCGACACACGAGCTCGTCACCTCGTCGAAATAATGAGCTCGTCACATCACCGACACCACGAGCTCGTCACGTCATCGTAATATTGAGCTCATCACATCGCTGAAATCATGAGCTAGTCAAAATGCAGAGACCTTGAGCTCGTCACCTCGTCGAAACCATGAGCTAGTCACAATGCAGAGACCTTGAGCTCGTCACCTCGTCGAAATCATGCGCTCGTCTCACTGCAGACACCTTGAGCTCGTCACCTCGTCGAAATCAAGAGCTCGTCACCTCGTCGTACTCATGAGCTCGTCACATCGTCGAAATAATGAGCTCGTCAAATCGCCGAAATGATGGGCTAGTCACAATGCTGAGACCTCGAGCTCGTCACTTCGTCGAAACCATGAGCTAGTCACAATGCAGAGACCTTGAGCTCGTGACCTCGTCGAAATCATGAGCTCGTCACACTGCAGACACGCTTGAGCTCGTCACCTCGTCGAAATCAAGAGCTCATCACCTCGTCGTAATCATGAGCTCGTCACATCGTCGACACCACGTGCTCGTCAGGTTGTCCTAATAATGAGTTCGTCACATCGTCGAAACCATGAGCTAGTCACACTGCAGAGACCTTGAGCTCGTCACCTCGTCGAAATCAAGAGCTCGTCAGATCACCGACTCCACGAGCTCGTCACATCGAAAATATGAGCTCGTCAAATCGCAGAAACCATGAGCTAGTCACAATGCATAGACCTTGAGCTCGTCACCTCGTCGAAACCATGAGCTAGTCACAATGCAGAGACCTTGAGCTCGTCACCTCCTCGAAATCATGAGCTCGTCACACTGCAGAGACCTTGAGCTCGTCAGCTCGTCAAAATCATGAGCTCGTCGCACTGTAGAGACCTTGAACTCGTCACCTCGTCGAAATCATGAGCTCGTCACCTCGTCGAAATAATGAGCTCGTCACATCCCCGAGAGCTCGTCACCTCGTCAAAATTAGAATATCGTCACATCACCGACAC